GCCAAAAAAAAAAAAAAAGTAAAAAGTGTGGCACTAATAGACTGAAAAGAACACTTGTTTAAAGTTTGACAGCTGAAACAAGAAAGCAGATCATTGCTGTTTTACCCCAGATTGGAAAATCTGTATGGATGGCTGAAATCTGTGTGTGTTCACAAATAACTTCAAAAGCAGAGTTTTGATTTTTGGATTACAAGTAAATTTTACCAAGAGTGCAAATTTTCAAATATGGAATGCAGAAATTATGAAGATCAACTGTGTGTATTTTGGCACCTTTACCTCTGGAATCATTGTGTTGACCAATGTTGCAGGGAGTTATAGTCTAGTGTAGGAGGCAGTTTTAAAAGATAAAACAAATGCTAGTAAAGAAATAACTGTAGGTACTAAAAAAGGGAGCTCTTCCCTATCTAGATACTGTTCAATTAAAATATAATGCAAGCCACATAAAAATGATTAATTTCAATAATATATTTGATTTCACCCAGTATGTCCAAAATACTATTTTGCATTTAACCAATATAAAACTTATTAGTAAGATATTTTATATTTTCCCCCATATTAAGGCTTGAAAATCTGATGTATTTTAACTTAAAGTACATCTCAATTCAGACCAGCCACATTTCAGGTGCTCAATAGCTATATGTGGCTGGTAGCTATCATATTGTATATCATAAGTCTAGGAGATGTAGAGACTGCCTTTGTCGGAGTGATATTTGATTAAAGATCATGAATAGAAGTGTCAGCAGAGTCCCCAAGTTAAAGTTCTGGAAGATGGATTCTGGTTGCTCTGGGCAAGGCATATTGTTCCAACAGTGTTCTGTCAGGGAGTTTCTGGCACATCAGTCTACCCTACAGTAGCAGTGGGTTCAGAACAGTAGCCAGACCAGCGAGCTATCTCACATAGCTGCACAAGCAGAGGTGGACGTGTACACCCACGTTGGCAGATTAAGCCTGGTTTAATGTCACTACTCTGCCTTCTATGGTTCAGCCTCCTCCATTTCCACAAATAATTTCTGTATTTTTCAGCATGTAAATCATCAGATATCTGTAATTCTTTTTGTGGCCAAACTTTCACTTCCAGGTAGTTTAATTTTGCACTTGACTTTCAGTCATATTGGGATTGGAT